GGCGAAGCTAGGCGTCGCGACTGACCCATCGGTCGCGTAACAGCCATCCGAATGGAGCGACCACAGGCGCACTATTGGTCCTCTCCTACCCGCAAAGGGTCAACCTGTGCACCCCCGCCCCAAGCTCGCCACACTACCCCACACAAAGCTCGCCATGCTCCCCCGGCACACCCCGCACTGAACTTTGCCATGCTCTCCACGCCCCCACCCGATGACCTCGTTGCTTGCCGACCTGCGCCCCTCGCCCCGCAACCAGTGCAAGGCAGCGTCGCTCACGCATCGACGTTCCACTTCTCCACTTGCAGCATTTGGGTTCAAGAGCAGCTCCGTCATTGTGGTAGAACGTTTCACCGGTGGTTGCAACAAAAGACCCTTACCCGCTCGCCGCGAGTGATGTCGTTGTCCCCGCTCGACTAGCCACTTGGAGCATGCCAATTGCGGGTTTGCTGGTTCCAACAAACATGGATGCCGTTTCCAGTATTCGTTGCCACAACCGCTGTCAAAATAATGTCGGTGCTTGCGTAAGGAGTTCGTCGGGGGTCGTGGTGAATGGACAATTCAAAAAGACAGTCAAAATTTATGCAATCCGAACAATGATATTTTTTGATATTTTTACATCAAAGGGATGGAATTTAACAAAGTTTGACTAAACTAATTATTGCAAACTAAACTTAACGAGGTACCAGAAAATGACCTCGTAGACTTGACCTCCAAGGACGTCGACACCTTCGTCGTTGCCGCCGCCATCGTTGTCGTCCTTAAAGCTGCGATAGGCCACCAAGGGGTCACAACAACCCTGTTTGGCCGTCTCTGCGCGCTCACGATGCAATTTCTTGGTTGTTGCCTCCGCCTGACATGTCGCGTTCGCACGACGGCGATGGCCGGCTGCAAACACACTCTTGCCCTTGACACTTGGTGCGGCGAGGGCATGAGCGACGTGCTTAGACTCCGCCGACCCTGCTTTCAGGAGCTGGTTGCCGATCTGTCGCCGACGAATGGCGGACTTCTGCGCGGTGGTCCTGAACTGATCCTCGGCCTAGGCGGAGTACATGGGAAGAACGACGAAGGCGGACGGGGTCTCAACGTCGAGTCGAGGAGCTAAAACCCTAACACAAGGGGAAGTTTTTTGTGGCACAAGTATATTTTTGTTCTTCCACCGTGTGTAAAGTATAGATACTCCCTTTGTAAACTAATACAAAAGCATTTAGATCACTATTTTAGTATTCTAAACGCTTTTATATTAGTTTACGGAGATAATAAAAAAAATCTACAATACCAAATAAATACAACCTGAAATATTTTATGATGTATCTAAATATATTTGATTTGATATTGTGAAATTTGGTTAAATTTTAGAAAATACAACTTAGGACAAATCTTTCATGTGATGAAAGTAGAAAGACGAGAAGAGTACAACGACACGACTCGCGATATCTCTACTCCTATAAAAATCATGGTTGGTGGTGATGGTGTGTCTGCCATCTATCATCTTTGACCATTTGATTTGCATCCGACGCATAGTAGCAACCCCACATCCCATTTGCAAAGAAACCCCTCGTTCTCTTCGTCCATCTCCATCCAGTCCCACCTTATCCACTCAACGAAGCAATCGACTCTTCTGGAAAAAAGTGGAATCGAAGTGGCAGCAGCAGCGGCTGCCGCTCTGCACGCCACCGGCGCCCTCCGCTCCCGACTCCTCTCTACCACGGCAGCCTCGCCGCACACCGCCACACCCACACCCACCTCCACCTTCCTTCCTCCCCTTACCCCGTCTTCTACGATGCCGACATCGTCAAGTACACCGCCGGCGCCATCCGTCCGCCAAGTCTGCAATGCATCTCCTGCCTACTCCTCCGGTGCAGCAGACTCGACGCCCAGCACATCTCCCTTCTCACCGCCGTCTCCTGCTCCCCCTCCCCCTTCTCCTTCGACACCGACGTCGGCAAGTACGCCGCCGGTGCCGTCCGTCCCCGGAGTCCGCGAGGACTCTCCTGCTTCCCCATCCGAGGCTCTGATGCAGCAGTCCCGCCGCCCACCACCTCCCCTGTCCTCGCCGACCTCCACGTACGCTGCTACACACTACGCATCCTCGGCGACAGCGCCGCCACCTACTACTCCCTCCCGGCAGACGCGCTCTATGGCCATCCCCTTCGAGTATGCGCTGCTCCCCTAGGACCTCTATGCCGTCTGCAATTGGTCTCTCCTCCCACATGAGTCATCTGTTTCATTACTTGCGCACCTGCTGCTATCACCATCCCGATTGGAAGCCCTCAGCCTGGCAAGAGATTTTTGTGAATTGAAGTACTCGACCATGTTTGGGTTCAAATAGCAGTATCCAATCTACTACATGGTGTATCAATATCAGGTTCGTAATTTCTGCATGTTTCCTGTCTAGGCCTTTGAATTGTAACTAAGATCTCCATTGATGAGTCATAGGACAAGGTAAGATACAGAACCAGCCGGCACACAAAGGCCGGCTTGATCTATTTCAGTTTTGTAGTGTACATCCGTTACAGCTTACAAGTGCACCTAAGACAACAAAATAAGCACCAAGTGATTTTGACATTAACTCCGGGTCAAAATCTGGGCTTGCAATGCTTCAGTTCTTGGGGTTCTCACAGTTCTAGATTATTTTTCTTGAGCACTTGGCGGAACTGAACCTTCTAGATCACCATCCGTGCTTCCACGAACTTCTCCTTCAGGATGTGCTTCAAGGAGGCCCGGGGTACTCCATGCAGCCCCTGAAACCCCAATTGAATTGGATGTTCGTGGAGTTGGTATGGTCTAATCGGCAAAACATTGCTGCCAGGTATTTCATCTGGTGTGCTTTTGGTGATTTTTGGAGCAGAAAACGAGATGCAAGTTTGATTCAGAATCACATGCTCTGTTTCTTTCACAGTTCCCTACATGTGTAGTACTGCACTGCGATGTTTCTCCATTGCATAGAGTGCAGTTAGCCAGGTACTGATTATAAAAAAATCATTGGTACGTATCCATGCAGTTTGTTTAATTTGGCCAAGACAATCACACGTTTTTGAGCATATTCTTCATAGAGCCATGCCCATAGTTTTGATGATGAATATTACAAGCTACAGATTTAAGTCTATTTCCAACACAAAGTGTGACATCATGTTTTATCTGCTCAAATTATGTTTCGATTATGCATGAATCTATGTTGATAATTAACCTATGATGCCTACTTTCAGTTACCAATTAAACATATTGGGTTACATTTGCTTCTTTTTATTAAGCAGGAAATGTAAGAGAGATCAGACTAAAAATTCCTGCTTCCTCTTGCTATTATATATCTTTGTAATTTGTAAACACTATTATGCTTGCTGCTCTGCCATGAGCAGTTATAGTTTCTGGTTGCTCCTTTGGTGACACAATAGCTTTAATTCGTTGCTTGGCACCCTCATGCTAGATTACATGCAGGCATGTGCGCTGTCAGGAAACTGTGCGGACAGTGGGTCAACATGTCCATGGTCATTACCTAGCTCGTGCTGCACCGATGCTGCTGGTCGTTGTTGTTGATGACCTCCAGCATAGTTATGTTCATGTTACAGGAGAAGGTTGAGTTCTGCAAGAGAGACTGGACATGTGCATACTACTTGGTGAGTGCAGGTCAACTGGGACTCATGGGACTTCCAGCGTGGATGGAACGAGACGCTCATGTCCCCGCCTTTCCAAATGGTGACATAAGTACCCCAGAATGTGCTTGCCTTAAAGAGATAACTTTTTCATGACAAATTTCCATTACTTCAACACGCTCCTTCTATCTCCTTGATGATGTTATATTCCTAAACTCCTATGTACTTAACACTTCTCTCTATCGCACATGAGCAATTAATTTTCTCTAATGTTTCCATTTGCACAACAGAATAGTACCTTTATTCCATTACTCATGTTGATATATTTGTGCTCTCCAAGATTTCAGTTCACATATCAATTTTAATCTTTGCATGTAAATTTTGATAATGTGTAAGGTTTATATGCTTTTATCCCATTGAAAACTTGCTTTAATTCCTCGGATGATAATCCTGCTGTTAAACCCATGCCGTGTTTACTAAATAATTTGCCTCCTACAGTGTGCTTCTGTCGTAATGCCTGATTTGCTCATATGGACAATAATGACTAGATCTATGGACCCATATATCAGTCGCTTAGATAGCTTGATTTTTTTCCTAATCTAGATTTGGAAAGAATTAGTAATGGGCAACATCATTGCTGAACTACAGTATGGATGTACTGTTGATATTGCACATTGCAACCACATGGTTGTCTTCTCGGGCTTTTGAGGCACGCACACCTATTTTATGGTTCTGGTTCAAGTTTAGTTTAATCTACAGTTACAATTAATATTGTCTTTCAAGTAAATTCAACATCGTGTTATCTCATATGAACATGATACAACCATATTGCATATGGAGCTTTCAACAATTCACGGCAATTCCTCATGGTTCTTTTTTCGTGTGCAGGCCCTAAGATACATGTGTTGTCGAACATGAGACTCCCTAAGGTGTGGAGCTAGAAGAGGTGGCGTTTCCAAAGGCAGTGCCGGCTAATGCATGGATGGCCAACGAAGCTAATGCATGGATTTTTTAAAAATAAAGATGTCAAGGCACAACTTGCTGGCGGAACCAAGCATGTTGACCATTGCAATTTGAACGCATATATTATCGAAAATGGGATGATTTGTGTAGTTTTATAGCAAATACAAATGCGCTTTTGGATGTAAATTTTGCGGCAACACGCTTTGGAATTAAATGGATGGGTGAATGAAGAGAGGGAAAAAAACGTATGTCCTAAGTGGAATGATTATCTAGAGAAATGTCTTCATATATTCCATTGTCGTCCCGTTGCATCGCACGGGCATCTTACTAGTGACATCTGAAAACTGAGCTGTGAACATTCTCGTCGACCTCCAATCACTTGGCCTGGCCCAAATCATTGTAGCACAAGCAGTCAAGCAGCCCACATTTCTCTCTAAAAAAAAGCTTATGCCCCCATCTCCGCCACGTCACCGATCCGCACCACCAGCCTCCCACCGCATCCCACCTTCCGATCGCAATCCAACGGCCCAACTCCAGCATCCCACGGATCGACCCAGCAGAGAGCAGAGACCTCCCGCCTCCAACTCCCGAAAATTTCGGGGCTTCCCTCGCAACCCCAGCCCATATAAAGCCGTCACCTCCGATTCCCCAATCCATCCCAAGCTTCAACATCCACACGAGTCCTTCTTCTCTCAAACAAAAACAAATCCAGCGACGATGTCTGGGCGCGGCAAGGGCGGCAAGGGGCTGGGAAAGGGCGGCGCCAAGCGCCACCGGAAGGTCCTCCGCGACAACATCCAGGGCATCACCAAGCCGGCGATCCGGAGGCTGGCCAGGAGGGGCGGCGTGAAGCGCATCTCCGGCCTCATCTACGAGGAGACCCGCGGCGTCCTCAAGATCTTCCTCGAGAACGTCATACGCGACGCCGTCACCTACACGGAGCACGCCCGCCGCAAGACCGTCACCGCCATGGACGTCGTCTATGCCCTCAAGCGCCAGGGCCGCACCCTCTACGGCTTCGGAGGCTAGATTCGTCTAGTGGTGCCAGTAGTGGGGCAACTTCCTCGTTTGCTCTGTGTCATGTGTTGTGTGGTAGATGGGATTTACTGCTTTGGCGTGCGTCGTTGTGCTCTGTCTTGGGTTCAGTAGGCTGTGTAATACCCAAAGTATGTTGTGTTCAATGAAATCAGTTCAATTCTAAATCATGACGAAATGCTTCACTGTTGAATTTGTGTTTTGCTTTTCTAAGACTGGCTGATTTGATTTCTCTGTTTAGATTGTATGGCTGCACTGAATATGTCTTCTATTTGTTCAAGTATTTGAATCTCGTCGCTTCTCATTTTAGATCGTATAGCTGTACGGGATCGCCCTTTCATTTGCAAATGTATTTGGCACTCCTTGCAATCTGTACAAGAGATGCTATCCTTCCTCAGGTAAGCTCATCGTCCATCTTTTGGTTTGGCTTCACTGCGGAATCAACTGTCAACTTTTCTGTTGTTTTCAGTGGTATGGATACTAAAAGGTAGAGTTGGCATTCTGTTTCTGAACGCTACATCAATCCTTTGGAGCAACTATCAGAGTTGATATGGTACATACAAAATTAACAACTGCCTCTAATACTGACTATCTGAGGCTCTGCGTTAAACAATTTGTCTTCATCCTAATAATTGTATAGTAGAGATTATATTCTTTTCCTAAAAAAAATCTTGTTTCTCACTGGGATTTATAGTGCAACCAGCTCATAGGTTGCTTCTCTTTTCTTTTTGAGAAATTGTAAGGTGCCATCTGGAGCAGGGATTGTTTGTGTTTTGCCAAATTTGCTTGTGACGAAACATCGCTAGTCTACTCGACATGGTCAAGGCAAGTGTAGGGTCTTGCGGGTCGCGACACCTAGCTGGTAGGAGTGTTGAGTCCTAACTGCCAGCACCAAACTTTGTTTCTATCAAATGCACAAAGATACAACGCTTTTGAGGTTTTTTCAAATAATTCCTTTTACTGCCAAATCTCCGATCTTTTGGTACATCGTTGAAATTGGTCGTTGTAGTGCCGTCACTTTGAGGTGAGTTTAGACAACACCGGCTTGCGCCATCTAAGGTGTGCCATATATGGCCCGAGCTGCGGCCCATCGAGAGCGTTCTAGACATGGTTCTTTAAATCTTCATTGATTAAGCTAAAAAGCTCATCACTAATGTGACATCGTCAACATTGTCAATAGGACCATTGAGGGCATGGCCAACGCGTTGCCCCGCCCATGTACTAGCTCGGTCAATTGATGTGTTGGCATAAAAGCCATAGCCTCAAGACCAAAGGTGGATCTTGCAGAGGCTGCATCCTTAGCAGAAAAAATGTGATATGGCCTATTTGATCTGCAACAATAGGAAAAACAAATGATTCTTTTCAAGAGGTATGAGTGAATGTGAAAATTCATATGGAATGTAGCACAAAGGAATCCTTACGAAAGATTCTTATAGGATTCAATCCTATGAATCAAACAAACAACATAGGAACATTTCCCAAGCATTCTAATCTTCCAGAATTCCTATGAAAATCTTTTGAATCAAAGGAGCCCTGAAATGGAGAACAAGGCAAGAGAGAAGGTTGAACGTGTCTGACAACATGGGAAAGAGAAAATGAGTAAGAAGATGACATCATAGGGAGTAGCTCTCCTTGGGTGACTGTGGTACAAACCAATACATTCATTCAATTTTATCTATGTGAACAACTTGAGACCAGACCATTCAGCTGCGTCCATAACTCATGCCCTAAGAAGGAGCTCTTTCATAGAGAGCGAATTGATGCCACTTTTATGTATGACACGGACGCCATTGTGGCTTTCTTCCCCGATTTAATAAACTCAACATTGTGGATCGTAATGATGCAGAGGCTAGAGGTTGTGTTTATTCCAAAATAATAACAAGGAAACATGTCAATGACAACCAACAATCTGAGGTACTTTTGCTCTCTCGACCGTTTACCACATTAAGATAGCTTTATTTTTCTCTCATGAAAATCTTGCTAACAACCATTGGCAGAGCGTCAGCGGGACCAGCGGGGGCTTCGATCCCTCTTCCAAGAGAAATATTGCAAAGATGAGCTCCTGTTAAGCTTAATCTCCCTGCTAATCTCCTGGCCTCTCTAGTCTCTCTAGCTTTTTTGGCCCCTCCTTGAATTTCATTCAGGCTCTGCTAACAACCAAGGAGCTAAAACGAGTTAATATATTGGAATCTGCCAAAGTTTAGCCAGAGAGCAAAACAGGGTGCACACTTTGCTGCCATCTCCCTCATTTATTTGTTCTCAACAGATGACATTGGCCGCGAGCCTAGACACACTTAAGATTTACTCCCTCCGATCCATATTAACTGTCGCTGATTTAGTGCAAAGGCACTAAATCAGTGATAATTAATGTGGATACGAGGGAATATTAAGCATCTCTATAACACACCTAGTTCTATTCTTTTTAGGACTTCGAACATTTTCACCCCCCCACGAAACCTTAGGAGCTACGGCGGTGACATCGATCTACCTCCTCCTCGGCGAGATATTAGACCCTCTCTCCCTCAAACCGCTACTTCGACGATAGGAGGGGACAAGGACCCCTTTTCGACTAGTGGTGGTAGGGTTAGGTTTTTGTCCCAACTACGGCGGTGACACGCCGGGGTCGTCGATGACATGAAACGCGTCATTTCTGTTTTGTCCTCATTTCAATGGTGCTTCCTCGTATCATTGGTAGAAACATGGAGGATGGTATGTCTCCATGTCGGATTGTCCGGGTTGAGTTTCTGCTTTGTAGATTTGTCCAATTTCAGCAACAAAATCGGGTCCTTGTTTCTGTGCACCTTTTGCATAGCGTTCTTGACATGCTGGAAATTGTCCTGGATCGATTGTTTTTTTACGAAGGCCCTTTGCGAGCAGGGGACAACAAATGTGTAGAATGCATAAGACTGATTGGTCGAAAATCTTTCACTCTTGTAGCATCAACATACTTGGGCAGAAGGATAATGTGTGTAGAATTCAACATGCCCCACCTATTCCCACACAAAGGGAATAAGTTCTCAAAGGTACATATAGGATCCTCTTTGATGAAACTCCAACAATGCTTGAAAAAGTCAACTGTGTATCCATCCGGGGCCCGTGTTTTGTTGGAGGGAAGATCAAAATCTACAATCTTGATTTATTCCTTTGTGAAAGGCACATCCAGAGAACATAGACAACAACAACATTTGGCCCGAAACGCGAGCAACGACGACAGTCACGACATTGCTTGATCTGGTATCATTTTTTGGGTAAGGGATTATTTAGTATTGACCTTTTAAGTTTTTGGTTTTGTCGAAGTTTCCTCCTTGTTTCCTTCTTTGTAATGATTTGTTATTGCCCCATATCATGGTCTGCCCTTTCTTTATTATTTTCATAGTTGTTTTATAAGAGTTGATTTTGAGTATTTATGAGAATGAAAAGGCAAATCATTGTTGTGCTTACTGTAGTTAATATGGAATTAGGAAAGAATATGAACTATTTGTTATATCATACATTTGTTATGCTCAGGAGTGTATATATAAATTCTTGATGTTGCAAATACAATTGGCATAGTGTTGAGAATACGAATAACATATTGTGAAAACTACAAAAATAAACAAATCATAATTGTTTCTATTGTATGTGTGCATATAAGAGGTAATCTCATCATTATTACGTAAGATGTGAGATGGATCAAATCTATTCCATTCTATCTCTCCAAGTAAATACTACTACCATGTAAGATCATCTCCAACCGGATTCCCCGCTCCCCCATAAACATCTGGGCGGACAACCTGAACACCACTTGGACCAAAAACAACCACCCAACAGGACCCCCAAACGGAGCTCATATGTCCGGGCTGTCTGGCACCCCAAAACCTATCCCATATGTAGGTGCGGATTTGGGGCCGATCCGATGCACCAGACACGCGCGCCACATCAGATCCAGCAGGCCAGACCCACTTCAAATACCTCTTAATCGTCCCCAACACTCGCTCGACTCCGTCTCCACGTAGCTGTGCAACTGTTCCCAACCCACAGTGTCGCCACCGTTGCCTCCCGTCCTTCTAGGATGTCCTTTGTCATCCCAGATGCGGTCGCCGCCCGTACTACGCCCTGGTATTTCCTAGTCCGCCAAACATACACCTCTCCCGCCATGTGTTCGATGAAATGTCAGAGCGGGGTTTTAGCTTATTTTGATCATTTTTACGCAAGCAATGGATTCGTCGAATGAAGAATTTGATTACAATGAGCTCGATGAATTCATGTTCAAGGAGCTCACTGATTCGTTGGATTCGGATGTCGATGATGATGAAGATGGTGACATGATGATGATGATGAGTATTCAGGAAGAAATGCAGAAGAAAGAGGAGCATATTCTCAACTTCAAGGGTTCGATAAAATGTGGGACATTATGCTTTCCTATGCATAAATGCATGACTGCTTTGAGGATGCTTCCATATGGTACAACCGGAGATGTCGTTGATGAGATTGTCTGGATGGGAAAGAGCACATGCATTGACGCAAAGTGACATTCACCTATGATGCGGTGAAGGTGTTTGGATCAGAGTTCCTAAGAGAACTGATGACCCACAAGTATAGGAGATCAATCGTAGTTCTTTCAATAAGTAAGAGTGTCAAACACAACAGGAGCAGAAGAAATGACAAGTGGTTTTCAGCATGTAGTAATAATTTTTCCTTATCAATTACCACTTTCCAAGAGCGCTTCACTCCCCGACAACGGCGCCAAAAAAGAGTCTTGATGACCCACAAGTATAGGGGATCAATCGTAGTCCTTTCAATAAATAAGAATGTTGAACCCAACGAGGAGCAGAAGGAAATTACAAGTGATTTTCAGCAAGGTAATCTCTGCAAGCATTGAAATTGTCGGTAACGAGTAGTTTGATAGCAAGCTAATTTGTAACAAGCAAGTAACGTTAATGGTAAATAAAGTGCAGCAAGGTAGCCCAATCCTTTTGTGGAAAAGGACATGCCAAAATGGTCACTTATAATAA